TCTATATATATATAATATAAAGCTACAGTAGTAAAAACGATCGAATGTTCTCTAATGATCCATCTCCATATTTGTTCCTACTTCAATTTAATAACTTTAATGTTGTCTGATTTAACAATTAATCTTCCACTTGGAAGCTTTAATAATTTAAATTTAGCTAGCGAAGGATTTTTTGATCTTCACTTTTTTTAGGGTAGTGTAACTAATTATATGCATATTATGGATTAATTCCATAGGCTAATACAGTAATATAGTGGCATGTGACAACTCGTGTGACTTACCACATTATTCCGTGATCACGTGAAAAGTAAAAATCAGTACTACAGTACTATTGTACTACATTAATTATTTGTAAAAAAAGTATATATGTAAACAAAATATTATTACAACATTAGTATAAGAAAAGAAAAAAAGAAAATCTCCCCCCCTCCCTATTATAAATTTCTATGCTATTAATAAAATCTCGTTATTTTGAATTGGATTCAAAAATTAATGATGTTCTCAATATTGTCAATGCTGTATATTTGGTACTATTGCACACCTAATCTACTCTAACTTATACGTATTCGACATAGATATATCTTGTCGATCTTTCTTCTCTAGCATATATATATATTCTATTTCCTCCCTCCATAAGGATCGACATAAACGGCTAATAGATCAACAACCATATAGTATTGTATCAGGTAAATAAGAATAATAATCCTTAGCACCCACCGTAATATAAAGATCATATAAATCATAGCAAAACAATTACAAACAAATTTAGAGAAAAATGACCTAAAAATTGAAATAACCATATATAACCTTTGAAAATAATAATAATAATAATAATAATAAAGTAATAAAAGGTGGAGCACCTGTCCCCAAAATCTTACATATTTTTTTTTTTAGAAAGCTATTAAAATTACTGTCTGTAAAAGGATCCTGTCCTTTAAAAGGTCTAAATGTACAGGACTTTTAAAAAAAATTTTTTTTGGGGAGTAAAACAAGAGGTAAAGGAGGAAATATAGATAAAACTATTCACAAGAAAAAAAAAAATAACAATTTAGCAGAATACGCCCGGCATTTGATAACCTTCTGCAATAAAACAATAAAAATGTTGAAAACATTCAACTCGTGAAAATGTTTATGTAAAATAAGTAAAGAAAAAAAATAAAATAAAAAAATAAAAATAAGAAAAAAAAAAAATACAAATTGATATAATCAATAAGATATAATATCTCCATTTATATAATATCAACCAATCATATTCCCTTTTCGACCTGTAGAAACGTAATATAAGTCATTTGTTTAATTCAATCTAATAATTCTTTTAATAAACACTTACCCTAGCAACCTTAACTTTATCGAATTCTTTAAGCATCTTGCGTCTAGCTCCAAGTGCTGCAACACCCTTTTTTTCTAGTGAAGAGTCATCTAACTCAATAATATCTTGCCATTTCATTCCTTCAAATACAGCTGTATATTTATGTAAACGAAGACTACGCAACCAAGCAGGAATATCTGAATTTTAAACAATAAATACATAAAGATTATGACAATATTCGGTAAAATTATATGATAATAAAGTTGTTAACAAACCTTGTAATAAATTGAAATCAACAGTGTCATCATTTTGTTTCTTTTTATTTTTACCATGACCTTTTGTTGTTGTTGGAGGATTGTTATTATGAGAAGCATCACTATGATCACTGTGATATCCGCCATTCTCTTCGCCATAAGGCCCAACATTAGGTGGTGTTAGATGAGTATTTTTTCCACCTCCGGTATTTTGATTCCAAGCAGGATACAATCCCGGAGGATTAGGATTAGGATTAGGAGAAGTTGGACGTGAATTCTGCCTGGCAAGAGATTTTGGACTTGGAATAGGGGAATGCTGAGGTGAGCGTATATTCCCATCAGTATCGTACATAGATAAAACAATATTTGCTTGATTGTTATATTTTTCTTCTTGAACAGTAGCAGGAACACCAGAACTAGATTTTCCATGATTCCGACGGAATTTTTTGACATCACTTTCTAATACAACACGATTACCAGAACTATTACTAACACTCCAATTTGCTAATTTTTTATTAACCATATCTACATCGGCAGCTTGTTTATTTTTATTTTCGGCAAACATCGGAACCACAGGTGTTGATACCATACTAGCCCAACTTCCACCAACAAGAGGTGATAACTCGCCATCAAAAGCATTTGGTCTAGGGGAACGCATAGAATAACTAGCAGGAGACCAAGGAAGAGCACTTAAATCAGCAGATTTTGGTCGACCATTACTTGTTCTATCTTTATTATTATTATTTGAACCAGAGGCAGAACCTGGAGTCCAAACGGACTGATCATTTTCTGCCACCATAGATTTTGGACGAGAAGAATATAAAGAAGTACTACGATTACCAGCTTGGTGAAGTCGAGCTCTTTGTTGAGCGAGAGCAGCAGCAGGATCAGAATAAATGGCAGCTTCAGGTGATAAAAATTCTACAGGATGTCGGTCATATAAACGACGTGCATATGTCGGGCTTGTTGGGGATTTAAGAGCCATACCAGCAAGTTTGGCCTCAACTTCAGCTTTAGCCATAGCACCTGCTAGTTGAGCTTGCATTAGATCTAATATTTCAACAATAAAACATTTAAAAAAAATTTAAATGTAAAAATCGAAAAGGTATAATCATTAAATGAGAAAAAAATAATGAGATAAATAATATTAAAAAAAAAAAAAAAAAACACTTTAAAAATTAATTCAAATGAATTACCCAACGAACCTTTCTCAGGGTTTGCAGGTGACAAGAGAGCACCCATCGGATCATTTCTTGCCATTTGTTGTAAAACAGTTATGAAGAACCTTATTTGTACTTGAGTTGAATGTTGTAATAAACTATATAAAGCAGCAGTTCGTTCAGCTTCAGATAATACTCGAAACCATTGTTCAATGGCACCAAGTTCTTCTTTAAAATTTTGATCTAGGCTAGCAGTTGCCATTTCTTCAAGAGTTTGTTCATAGTGTTGAAGATCTTCAAACCATTTATCAATGGCTTCAGCTGAATTTTTTAATAATGATTGAGTACATTTATATACTTTTTATAAAAAAAATTAAGAAAAAAAATAAAAATAAAATATAAAAAAAAAAACCAAAAAAAAAAAAAACCAAAGAATTTGATTTTTTTCCGATGTAAACAAATCCTGAATCGTGATAAAGAACATTTTTATGTTTTTTCATGTAAACATTAATAACTTTTTACCCCTAAATAGATGATTAAAAGTGTAACATTATCAAACTTGTATACTAAAGTGATAAGTTATTACAGTATACGTATAGTTAAGTGACAATAAAAATATTATGAAATAAAATAACTATACGTATTTATACCGGTATATAGATATGTATTAAGAATAATAAGAGATAAGCTTTCAAACGATACTTCCTTTTCATTCACGTTAACCGATAATATTGTAATTATACTTATCTATATATATATAATATAAAGCTACAGTAGTAAAAACGATCGAATGTTCTCTAATGATCCATCTCCATATTTGTTCTCCTTTGATAAAATTTTATATACTAATTTATATACTAATAAATTTCCGAAATTGTCGCAATTGAAAGTATATACTGAGATACGATTGATTTTTAATTTTTAGATTCTCGTGGGTTAAAGTAAATTAAAGTAACGAACTAATTTATCTGTTACCGTATAAAAAAGTATTGTTGATAACTTGATTTGTACTTATAACGGGTCAAAGCCGTTGTGGCGGCAATAGTTTTGCTACGGCAAATTAGAATTATACCTAATCTCTATTTATAGATTATACTCGTAGATCGGCATTTGGCACCGCAGCTAGCTGCTAATGAATATTATCCATATTTTGTTTTCTTGTTTCAACTTGCCATCGGTTCTATAATAAGTAAAGGTGACAAAGAGGTATTTTCTTCCTTACCCTATCCCACCCACCTCTATTCTCCATCCACTCTCTTCCTCATACAAGAAAGCTCTATCACCGATCGTTAAGTCTTTTTATCTAGTGGTCGTTTTGAACTTTAAGCATTCTGCGTTACCATCATGACGACTCAACGTCCCGTGTCTGAGCAATTTAATCTTCAACAAAAGCCGGGATCTAATCAACAATACCGCCAGTCGGCAGATTTATCTCACCTAAGTCAACAACCGACAAATAATAGAAGCTCCCGTCCAACCTCCGAAATATTCTCCGCTAATAATCATAATACTTACCAATCACCTGAAGGTAAATAATTTCTTATTACTTTAGATTGGGATCGTTTGGGCTAATACTCTTGAAGGGTTTTCGTTTTTTTAGGGATTTTATTTTATTTTATCTTTCATTTTATTTTTTTCCTTTTTTTTTTTTTATATTTTATTTTTTTTTTTTTTTTTTTTTTTTTTTTTTT